CTTTGCACGCAGCAGCATTGATAGACTGTATTCTACTCTCTTGCTTTTAAGGGCTTTGCATAAAAACGCGTTAACAACTTAGATTATAGTAGGGTTAAACATCGATAGAGAACATTTGATTTCTTACAGGATTAGTACCGTCGAAAAGAGAGAAAAAAGAAAAAGAAAAAAGGAAGAAAAAAGGGAGAAGAAAAAGTGACTCATGCGCGAGACTTAGATTTAGATTTATTATAACTTTAATACGAGTTGTAAGATAATGTATACCAATGCTATAATATTTATATCGTCACTATAAATATTATATAATAGGTATGATATTATTGTTGTATAAAAGAAAAAGAGATTAAAAAAAGACGAAGGAAGAAAGAACGAGAGAACACTTGCAGCTAATGCAGGAAATAATCTGTCTAATCCAATAGGATGAAATCCTTCATTAACACGAAAGAACTTAAGAATTGGCTTTTTCCTTCTTCGAGTAAATTTGAACATTATAACGCAAAAGATATTTTTCGATCAAAGAAGACAGATACCGTTCCAACGTTTACACGGAAATATACACTTTTCTCGGGGAAATGTTATTTAAGGGCCTCTGTACATTACTATTGCTAACATCATCATATATGTAAAGAAAGAGTAAGCATATAAGAAAAGAAAAAAAAAAAAAAAAGAAAGAAGAATCTTAGCAGGTTACCGATTACAAATTTTCAGAAAGCAGATAAATAAGATAAATAATTATTCGCAAGAAATATTCTTCACGAAATATATATATTAAAGAATCATATATATTATATACCGATGTCTAATTAATAATTAAAACTATCGAACAAGTGTTATTAAATAAAATGTTGTAATCTGTGTTGACAATCGCCGACATTCTGAGCCTGAAATGCAACCATTGAACAGGTGTACATCGTCATGCCTTGAAGATACTTAAATAAAACGTTTTAGTCATGCATCACGAGATGATAAAGATAAAGAAAGGGGGGAAAGTGGTAAAAGTTGTGTATAAAAATTGTCAGACTGAAATCATGTGCAACAATCGCTGATTCTCGGCAAGTAGACAGCCCGTGATTTGCAAAAGTTTATGCGATCACAGTGTCGAACAGTGTCATGAGAACGACGTTTAGCGAGAATTATTGTAAAATTGCAAACCGAATAATGGATATGATGCGGTGATCGTTTGATAATCGTTTGCCTGTATTTTATTAGTAACTCGAGATTGAAAGTTCGACAATGTTTAAACGATTGTAAACGAAGCGTGGATTTTTAATCTGTATATAGACGATATGATTTTTGCTCCGAGGACGTGTTATTACCGGTGAGAAGAAATGGATATATAAACTAAATTATACGTTGTTAGAGAATTATGTGGGAGAAATATTTAGCAGCTTTCAGATGTACAGATCTTCGATAAAAATGCGTACAATCACAAGTATATTAAAACTTATCAAAGACACTATCGATAAGTTGTGTTTAGTTCATTTTTTCAACGACAGATTAAACGCTAAATATATACGTATATGCCAAACGTGTCGTCACGATTTAGTCATTCGTTTTGTATATAATGCACGTAACATAAAACTGGAGTATAAATAAATACGACGGAATATATACGTGATGCGTATTGAATTTTCTGTTACTAATTTCACAGGATAATTACACATCTAAAAGTAACAATAAGAGAATGTAAACGTCGCATTTAAAATTATTTCCTCGACAACGTAAGTTTGAGCATATAATGGCAATGTTATTAATCAATATACTGAAATGTACATCATACCTTGTACACATAAGTAAGTACTTGCATATGTCGACAAAATGTTCCGTTTTTCCCCCTAAGTTGTTCACATTTGCTACATTATATATATATGTATATATATATATATATATATATATATATATACGATTATATATATATATATATATTACGTAGTAAATATATATTATATATATATATTAAGTATATATTATATAATATATATATATGTAAGATTTTAAGTAATATAAATGGATCGTAAATTTTATATTTTATTTCTTCCTCCATATACTTACAAAAATTATGCATGAAGGTGCATACAATTGTATGACAATTTTATTTCAAATCGATTTCCGTTTCAATATTAATGTTTTTTTACCGTCACCCTTGCTATTAAAGAAACAATAGTGTCCTTTTGAAATAATAATATACGTTTGCTTGAAGTACAAGTTACAATTTATTTACATATCTCGATAAGAAATCTAAACATCTTTAAACTATAAGAGTCCTACAACCCTTCTTCTAGTTGTATCATTTTACATATTTTTCAAATATCTTAAACTCGTAGAACTAACGCGAGGAATGTCTTGCAACGATTTCACATCGTTTCTTATAATGCATAGATGGTTTAACATGAATCTCAGGAGATGATTATATATGTACATATACATACATATACAATATATAAATATACATATAATTAATAATCATTGGATAGGGTAATTATTTACAAAGGGGTATTACCGCCCACCGATTTCGATGACCTTGAGATATGTTGTCAAAATCATTATTCTGAGCAACTTTACCTTGCACATATTATCGTCGCTCAACCTTAGTTTTCGATATATTCGAAAAAAAGCTTAAACTAATTTTAATTTTTACTTCACTCTGATGTAAACGACCGCATCTTTATACAACTCCCCCTAAACTTAACTCGCTGATGATAATCATCCTTAATGTAAACAGAAAAAGACAAATCGATGGGTGGTAACTTGGTGAAGGCTAATATTCTCGCGCTGGCATGACTTAATTTTTATTTCGTTCAATTTTGTAAGTATATCGTAAATTCAACTATTGTTTATGTGTATGTACTACCAAACGTGCTTTTGTGTATAACTCTAGAACTAAGAGCATGCGTGATTATCACTAGGTTGCATGTGAAGCATATATATATGTACATACATATATTATATATATTATTAGTTATTACATATATATATATATATATGTCGGAATCAAGTTGGCACTTTGGGGCGTTCTATGAACCTTTACTTACTTTATCGTCGCGAATGTAGCTAATATTTGTCAGTACGAATGTGGACGCTACAAGAGGCTATGAGTAATGGCCATAGGATGTTCGAGATGATGGTGACAACGAATCCAGGTTCGGTAACGAATCCACGGTCCACGGGATGACCAGTATCAGCGTGACTTACTCGGCAATTCCCTCAACGACTAACTAACTACAAACTCTCTCAATCCAGATGAACCTACCCTTATATACTCCTGTCCCCGCTTCTCGGGTCAATCCTTGTTTTTAAGGAGTCATAAAATCATAAAGTCATAAAATCATTCCGTACCTCTGTCAGGTACGCGGCCCTCCCGTGACCGTGGCTACGTCTGGTGACCCATTATGTCACCTTAGACCTGAACCCATCGTCGTAACGCCAGGTTGGAACATTAAAAGTTGTTTTCCTTATTTTTATTGCTTAAACATTAAAATCTTGACTATGGTGATGGGAGGTTTTTCCTAGCATTCCCGACGGAAAGTCCCGCTGTCCGTCCATCTCCGACATATATATATATATATGTAATATCGTAAATATAATATTATAATGATGATTTATTTACAATGAATGGATTGTACAGATGTTGATTAATCACGATAACGTATTATGGTCTAAACAACGCAATAGTTAATTTGTAACTCTCGTCACAAGGGATCCAACGCTCTCTCTCTCTCTCTTACACGGACCACACTCTCACGACAACGCTGGTGTCACGTAAACTTGTGGGTTGGATAATGAAATAAAATAGCTGAGTCGTAACACAACTATTAATTTTGTTTTAGTTAAACTTTATTACGAATTCAGCAATCACAACGGAATACACACTGAATTGACATAAATCACAATTCATTCCTTATGCAAAACTTAGTTACACTGATTCGTTAAGTACGCGACTGTTATAAGAGTAGAGACCGGTAAAGATATGTTGACTACTCTAAGAATACAGAATAAGTGAAGTTTTACTGTGTCTGAGGAAAGCTAAGGGTGGGTGTGCTAAGGACACGGGACTATCGGATTTTGTAGATGACAATTTTGGTTAAGGAAGTGAGGGCAGTAGACACCGTCTCCGATTGGATAATAAGACGATTCGTGGACCAGGAAGAGTTTTAGCCGCCCTCGTGAGAAAGTCGCTAACGGATCATACCAGACGTGAGGAAAACCAACCTTCCATATTAACCCGTAACAAACAATAAACGTAAAAGGAAATCTGAGACAAGAGATACTCGCTTGGTCCGAAGGACCTTAACTATGAAAATTNGGGCCGAAGGCCCTTAACTATGAAAATTCCAAGACCCCTGGTGGGTACTTAAAACTATTGAAGGTACGCGCCAAGGATGTGCAGACATCTGGGTGCCATCCTGCCCGTGGTGTGTGGCCTGGTCTCTGATGTGAATTGATGTGAACTTCTTCATTTGCACTCTCACGAAGTTTTTCTCACGTATGATGCAACTTTCCTCCTACTAACCACTTTCTATCGAGGGCGGCTAAGACCCTTCCTAGTCCACCAACCTTCGTTTAACCAATTCACAACG